ACAAAATAGCGCGACAGCCCCTCGCGGACGACTGCCGCGCACAAACCAAAACCAAAACACAAAATAAAATCCAGGCCTGGTCCTCTCTCGTCTTTCCCTGTCGTCACTCCTCCTTTGTATCCTTCCGGAGTTCCTCCGTGAGACTCGAGACCGGTGAGTGGCGCAGGTGTCGAGCATTCGCAATTACTCCACCGGCCTCGCTCCGTTCCCACGGCTCTCGGCCCCGCCCCTCTCGTCACAAATACCTTTTGATGTTAATTCATGTTCATGTACTAAAGTAGTAAAGAGACAGATATGATGGGTTCACGTTTCGCTTGAACTGAGGCGCTAAAGCGATCGCTCATGCTACATTTATGAGTGCCAAAACGGTATTTGTTGTTTGAATTTCGTTATGAATTCGGCAGAATTGTAAAGCTGATACTCTGTTTATTAAGTAACAGAGCACAAAGCTTATTGCAATTATTGGACGGCAAGTGCGCTACAAAGTTCATGCATTAACAGAATGCCACTTGGCTTTTGTATCTAAAGCAATTCAGACATTTTTAAGTGTTTTGGGGCCACTGTAAATACATATAAGGGAAGAATTTTTTTTTGAGTTTTTATTAAATGAATACAAAGAAAGTGTAATCTTTTAATTAATAATCCCCAAAAGAACTATAAATAATGACCGACATTTACTGATGTAGATTTTAACTAGAATTGTATGTGCTGTGTAAACATTTATGACTCAAATGAATCATTGAGTCAGTGTTTTGAATCTTTCATTTTAAATGATTCTGATTCACAGAAATTAATCACACTTAGCAAAATTTTAACACATGTAAGTTCAAACTCTTTCACAATACATTATTTTCAGGGAACCTAAACAACAAATAATAATAATAATAAAAAAATCATCAATATTGCCAGTAAAATAGAAAGTTCAAAATACAACTCACTGATCTGTTTAACTTAATGAGCCGTGCTACGAAGAAGCGTTTGTTTGTGAGTGTTAACATTTAAAGGTCTAGTTCACCCAAAAATCAACATTTTGTACCCAGAAAATCAGTCATTTGGTATTCATTTCTTTCCCAGAAACACAAAAGAAGATGCTAGGCAGAGTGTGTGAGCTGCTTTTCCACACAATGAAAGCGTAAAACTGATTTGTGTCTGAGCTCATGGTGGTCAGACACACATTGTAAATCAAATAAACTTAAGTTTGATTCAGTGTAGAGTAGGTTAACACAAACATGATAATATATGTGACCCTGGAGCACAAAAGCAGTGTTAAGTCGCTGGGGTATATTTGTAGCAATAGCCAACAATACATTGTATGGGTCAAATTTATCCATTTTTCTTTTATGCCAAAAATCATTAGGATATTAAGTAATGATCATGTTCTATGAAGATATTTTGTAAATTTCCTACTGTAAATATATCAAAACTTAATTTTTGATTAGTAATATGCATTGCTAAGAACTTCATTTGAACAACTTTAAAGGCGATTTTCTCAATATTTTGATATTTTTTGCACCCTCAGATTCCAGATTTTCAAATAGTTGTATCTCAGCCAAATATTGTCCTATCCTAACAAACCATACATCAATGGAAACGTCTCAGGTTACTTATGTAACCATGGTTCCCTGAGTAGGGAACGAGACACTGCGTCCTCTAGGGGTCGCTATGGGGAACGCCTCGTCATGAGCCGTGTCTGAAGCATACATTGAAAAAACACCAACTCGTTGGCCAGCGACAGCCATGACATCACTACCAGCATGACTATAGTATAAATAGGTGCCGGGAGCACACATCATTCACTTCTTCGTCTGAAGCTTGCGTCCGCAGCATG